AAAGCAGATATCAGATATTTACTTTCAATATGAAAATTTGAAAATTAGTCTTCAAATATAACATATGAAACATCATATACTACCTATCATTTTAGCAAGTCATCAAAAAGCAGATATCAGATATTTACTTTCAATATGGAAATTTGAAAATTACTCTCAAATATAACATACGAAACATGATATAGTACGTATAATTTTAAAAAAGTATCAGAAAGCAGATATCAGATATTTACTTACGCTATCGATTTCTGAGAAATCAGGAAAAAGCAACAAGAAACCCATACTACATATTTCTAAATTTCAGCAATATGACGGCTAAATCTCTAATTTCTATTTTCTGATAATATATGAGAGATATATAGTGCGGGTAAATGATTGAGAGCTGTCCGAATGCCGTGAATTCCGAAGTATTGAGAAATTCTTGAACTCAAAAATTATTTAGCACGTACGGGCACTAAGAAATTGCAGCGTCAGTTGGCATAAACAAACTCAAGGAAGTCAAGATCTTCAACGATCCCAATGATCCCAAGGAAGCCAATGATCTGAAGAAACTCAAGGATCCCAAGGAATTCAAGAGTACCAAGGAATTCAAGAGTACCAAGGAATTCAAGGATCTAAAGGAATTCAAGGAAGTCAAGGATCTAAAGGAATTCAAGGAAGCCAAAGAATCCAAGGCAGTCAAGGCATCCATGGAATTCAAGGTTTCCAAGGAAGCCAAGGACCCTAAGGAATTCAAGGAATCCAAGGATCTCAAGGCATCCAAGGAATTGAAAGATCCCAAGGAATTCAAGGAAGTCAGGGGTTCCAAGGCATCCAAGGAATTCAAGATCCCCAAGGATCCCAATGCATCCAAGGAATTCAAGATTTCCAAGGATCCCATGGAAAGGGTGTGGGTGTGGGGGTGTGGGTGTGGGTCTTCTCCTTCATGAGACCCACAACCCATACAACCTACCCACACTCACACCCACGCTCCACATTCACAACCACCCACACCCTCAGGCACCTGCTTATGAAGATGCGGCTTTCCATTGTCTTGATGAAGTATAATACGATTTGTGCCATATGGGGATCGTTGATGTCTGATTTCATCTAAAAGAGTTTGCAAACAGTTGTCGATATTATATTGATGGTCGACAGTTTGCCCTCGTTCCACATAATGAATCAGAAGCGAACCAGTTGATTTGAAAAAGATGGAAAATAACGTTTTTGGACCAAATTTATTACGACGAATTATTGTGGATGGGAGGATCACCTTTTGCCACCCAAGCAGCATTTGATGACTTTCGACCAATTTGCTTGTGATAAAATCACGGCTCGTCGCCTGTCACCACATTGCATAAACGCCATGTTCCATCTCTAAACGTTGCTAAATTTTGTTGACATATTCGAACTCGTTCATTCCGTTGGAAATCAATAAGTTCCTTCGGTAAATAACGAGCAATGATTTTGGTAAGTTGTAAATGGTCGGTGACGATCCGCTGAGTAGCACCGTAGCTTAAACTAGTTTGCTCTTACACTTCTTCTTTTGTAACGCTAGGACCATCTTCAATAATAGGACGAACTTGTTCGATATTTTCAGGAGTTGTTTCAGTAATAGGCCTACTAGGTCGTGCTTCGTTTTCAAGTTCTTCATGACCTTCACGGAATCGTTTACATCATCTTTCAACTGTTCTAAGGAGCTTTATTACCATGAACTGAATATAGTTCTTCATAAATAACTCTTGCTTCAATATTAAGTGTAGTATGCATTTTGACATAGAACCGAATGTTTTCCGTACCCATTAGAAGCAGTCTTTTATCTTTTGATTTTCTCGAAAGTATACGAATAAGCTATATATACACGCGACTAATGGAATATGATGGACAGCTAGGCGACAGAAGAGACGAGAGAAAAAAAGAAGAAAGAAAACAGAAAGAAAGAACAAAGAAAAACCAGAAATTGTATAGAAATGGACGATAATATCACATATTACTAAAGTTAAGTTTCATACAAAGATAATTCTGCTCGAAATTTTATTAGTATAATACTCTGACTCTTTTATAAGAAAATAAGATACTTTCGACATTACTTTTGAATACACCTAAGTATATGAAAATTCGATTCCTGTTCCAGTCTTGTAATCCTTTTTATTGAGCCTTTTATATTTAACCAAGCATATCAACTATTGATATAGTTAGTTGATTTTACTCGTACACTTTCAAATAGTATTACATCAGATTAGTTTCACTAGGCACATCAAAGTAGGCAACCTCTCCTTGTTGTAACATAAGAATCCGATCACTATTAGCAACAGTGTTCAATCGATGTGCAATCGTCAATATCGTGCGATCACGAAACTTGTCAGCAATCACTTCTTGAATCATCGCATCAGTTGCATGGTCAACATGTGCAGTAGCTTCATCAATCAGCAATATTTTGCTCCTCTTTAGAATGGCTCGAGCTACACAAATCAGTTGACGTTCACCAGCACTCAAATTAGTTCCCGATTCAGCTACCAAAAGATGGAGTCCATCAGGATGATTTCGTATCAATTTTTTAAGTTGAACAGCTTCAAGTACTGCAAAACATTCTTCATCTGAGAATTGCTCGAATGGATCTACATTGTATCGAAGGGTACCACAGAAGAGGATCGGTACTTGTGGAATAACACTAAGATGAGAACGAAGATAATTGAGTGAAAGACGTCCAATATCAATGCCATCGATCAGTATAGTTCCATTGATTGCTGATTGATCGACAAGTCGAAAGAGAGCTTGAATAAGTGATGACTTTCCAGCACCTAGACAAAATACAACAAAGTAATCATACATTTCAATACTTCACATTTTAAACTGAAGTAATACATACCTGTTCGACCAATAACTCCAATCTTTTCCTGGGATTCAATCCGTATATTGAGATTTTTTAGTACAGGATCAAGTTCTGGTCGATAGCGAAAAGTGTAATCTTTAAATTCGATAATACCACGAGAAGGCCAATCATTGTCTGGTTGAATGAGAACATTGCTATCGTTATTATTTTGATGACTCTCACGTACTAATTGGCCATATTCATAAATGCGTTCTGCACTGGTCATAAAATTTTCTGCTTCAGCTGATTGTCGTACCGCCCATTGAAAAAGACCTGTTAAAGTAATGCAATAGCTTATACTAAGTGCTGCTGTCGACGGATCGATTTGATGACGTAACGCCACTGCAAGAATTGCAGTAGCCAATGTGAGCAACGATGCCATAATATCAAGTCGTAAGCCGAACCAATGCGCAGTGGCAGAGAGAATGAAGTAAGCTCGTGAATTTGCATCAATTCTTTCGATGAACATTTTCAAAAAATCACCTTGAACATCAAACGCTCGAATACTAGTAAGTCCGTCTAATGACGTTGAAAACAATGTATAAATGGGACTACGTGTTACACTTTCGAGTCGTTTGAGTTGACGACTCGAACGCATGTAAAACCGACGAAGCCACAAAATTGTCGGAATCAAAGGAACAAGAATGAGAAGCACCCATGGATTGGTTATTCCAATAATTACAATAGAACCAAGAGTCATTAATAGATATTGCATAGTATCAATTAAAGCTAGAGGTAATAATTCATCGATTACTTGTTGATCTTTACTTGCTCGATTCAATATTCGTCCACTTGGATTATTTTCAAAGAAACGTAACGATGTGTACAAAATACCTTTGAGCATTCGATTATGAAAATAGGTCGCACCACACAACATAATATAGATGACGTATCCGACACGAATTAGTGCAACGATCAATATAGAAAATATAACTCCAAGATAAACATAAATATAAAATGATGATCGTTGTTCGCTTTTATTTTTACTAGACCACAGAGCGAGCCAATTATTTGCATAGTCATACAAAGCTTCATTACCGAACATTAAAATAATCATAAGTAAAAAACCATACCAACGTAACGGTGGTGAAGTAAATAGTTTTATCCAAACATTCCAATTGATGGAACCTTCAACTGACGTTTCACTTTTTACAATCGAGTTAATATCTGTTATACTAGTATTCAGTACAAAATCTGTTTCCTTATCATTAGATGAATCTGTTTCCGATGTTTCATTCGATGACTCAATTGCAGATTGTTGTTCAATATGTAATTCATCGATATGACCATTGGTCATAAGAAGCATTTGATCAGATTCAACTAAAAAATGTGTCTGATGTGTCACTAATATTCGAGTCTTTCCATGAAGGAAACTTTGTGGGCCGATGGATTGATCAAAAATACTTTTTGCCACCTTGGGATCAACAGCAGCAAGTGGATCATCAAGTAAATATAAGTCAGCATCAGCGTAAAGTGCACGAGCGAGCGATATTCGAGCCTTTTGTCCTCCGCTCAAATTAACACCTTTGTCGCCAATCATCAATAAATCACCGACCTCACCAAAATTTTGTAGATCAATATCAAGACAACATGCCTTTATGACATTCTTATAACGTTCTTCATCCATTGGTTTGCCAAGAAGAATATTGCCTCGAATAGTATCAGCAAATATCCATGCCGATTGTGGAGCATAAGAAATCGAATTAGTTTGCAGTTGTAGCTTTCCATTGATAAGATTGATTTCACCGAGAATAGCAGCTAGTAAGGTTGACTTGCCAGAACCAATGGCACCTTTCACTCCAACCAAATTACCCTTCTTGATTTTGAGATTGAGTGAAAATAAAGACGGAGTATCTTTCCAAGAAAATGATGCATCTTCCATTATGATTGTATGATCTTCATTTTTGTTTTTCACTTTTTCACGTTTGTTCAACAACATATCGAGTTGCATAAATTGATCGATTCGTCTTGCGGAAATGCGAGCTTCACTCAATTTTTCAATGAAATTTGGCATCGTGATTGTTAATGGAAGTCGGACCATGGTAAAGAAGGCTAATGTTGAGAAAATATTTTCTGGCAATAAAGTGTGTCCCATGAGCCAACTACCTCCGAATGTAGCAAGAGAAACCAAAGGTATTGTTACGAAAGATATAGCAACGTTAAGAGCTCTCAAACTGCTCGCTTTACGAATGTTTGAAAGCTCAAGCTGACGTGTTTCACGTACTCGATGCTCCATGGCTTTTTCCCAATTGTACATTTTAATAATTTGACATCCGTTAACAAGTTCATTGACCGTTTGCACACGCTTATCCGTACATGTCATTGTAGCTTTTCTGTATTTGCTAAATTGTCTACTGAAAATGAACTGTATTGGTATTATTAAAATCAGCACTGCATAACCGAATAAAGTCGGTAGGCCGATGTTCCACCACATGAGACCAAATATTACAAAAACTTCCAGAGGTACCATCACTAAAGCATGAATAAAAATACTTAATTCTGCAAATTTATTGGCATCATTTGATACTAAATTAATCGTCTGAGCAGCAGTAGTCTTGTGAAGAGCTGCAGTATTAATAGTTAACAAGTACTGATAAATAATAGTTGATAATGCATTGCGAATTCGCGTTCCTACGCGTGTATTTCGAAAGATAATCTGTTGTAGACAGGTTGCTTGTAGAATTACAGCAATACAAAGACTAGTAGCATATAGATAACCAGAATAAGCAGGTAATCCTGATTGATCTTTAATGTAAAGAGTCAGTTCACGAATAAGCAATGGCTGTGATATACGAGCTAGTGAGAATGGAAAAACAAGCAATATACTCGGTATAAAGTCTTTATAAAATATTCCCCTGAACACATGCCATGTACCTGGCCATTTAGAATTATACTGATTTACTCTGTTCAACACGACTGAACATTTATCGTCGATAGAAAGATCATTAAGATCATTTTCAATAAGATTACGTTTATTAGCCAATGAGAGAATGGGTGACACCCACAAAAATAATGGTATCTGTATCCATCTTGTCCAAGATGATTCAGCCCAATCCAATCGACATGGTGCTCGTTGTTGACCTAGAAAATATACAATGAATTTCAAGGAAATCAACTCAATGAATTACGATCGATTTCCGCTGATCATACTTACTTTCAGTCAATGGTGATACTTTGGATGCAGAAAAAAATGTGGATTCACCGTTTGCTTGCTTCTTTGACATTTGTTGCTTTTATTCACATAATCGCTCGAGGGCAGTCGGTTATAAAGAGTATGTGTAAAGCATAGTTTATGATTTCTACTTTTATTGCATTTGAAATTTATTGCAGGCAATTATTATTCTCTTTGTCCTTTTATCTCATTTTGAATTAACCTTGGTCGATTAAATTTGAGAGTAAGAATAAGAACTGAGAAAAACTATCGTTATCGCGATTTCATCCTTCGTAGAGGAATAATTATATGAGTTCGTTTGAAAAAAGTTGTACATAGCAATGAAAGAAGCCATCATTATCATTATTAAGCATGAATCAAAATCAAAACACTTGGTATTTGAGATATTAGAGGTGCTGTTTCGCAATTCAACTGTATACTTAATCCTAGTACTACCAGCCAGGGTCATTTTTGACCCGTACACAAAAATTTGAAAATACACTAGAAACATTTTGTTATTTCGTAGTTTTCGGAAGCAATATCCTCATCCTCACCTTGCTGACCTGATCCACCAACTAAGATGAAAGGGTGCGGGCTATATTATCTAAAAAATAATCTATAGTGCGCAATAAATATATTTCTTCCATATCTAGAGCTGAGAAGTTTTTGAATATTCTATCAAACAAAAAACATTAATTGAAATTCTTTCAATATGGTTATAGTAGGATTGTATTGAATGCATGTATG